AGGCTAAATAACTGTACGTGATTCCTTAGCAATGTGTAGCTTAATATTTTGGCTGCATAACTGCATAACATCATCGCTTTATTGAGCTAACGAACTGGGCTTTTCTAGAAAATACCATAGATTAGCATATTAACTAAATCGTTGCAAAGCGCAATCTAGCTGAGTCATTTCCTGCGAGTTTAACTGAGCATGGTACAGCACTGCAGAGTCCACTCTGCTGAACTGCATTAGTCCGTACTCCACATAGCAGTTATTGAATGTGGTACGTAATTAGACAGTGCAGAATATGAAACCAGCAATGTGAGGCAGTCGCAGACCAGAGTATAGTAAAACATGCCATGTTATGTATATCATTTTATATTCCACAGTACAATCTAGTTTTTTCATACCATGAACGTGTAGTTGAGGGTGAAACAGAGACTGTCTTACATGCTTTTTCATTGAATGAATTGAATGAACCAGACTTATTAAGAAGCAGCAATCTAGTAATAGTAGGAAATATTATGCTATATTACTCCATACGACGCTATATGCCTAGTAAATGAACGAACCAAACTGTATTATTAAGAAGCACCCTGTCACAGACTATGCTATGCTCTTCCCTGCCTCATTAAAAACTACTGAATTTGTGATAATTACTATAGCACATATAGCATCGCGAAAAAAAATAGTCGCAAGATGTAACGTGTCAATAAAAAATATAGTTTTGCAGGTATCCATAGCACTCACTATCGCAGTAGCGTCGCTGTCGACAAACTCGTCGGAATTGATGACGGTGTAAAACGCGACGTTGGTCAGCACGTAAACGACGGTGACGATTCCGCAGGACAGTCCTATGGCTAGTGGTAGGTTCCTAGAAATCGTCACCGCGTCACTTTTTAGACAGTTTCCAACACCCAAAGTTACCGTTTTGGATTCTTCAGCTCTTCGACGATAAAATTAAGGTAATTCCTGAAAAGGATGTGGGCAAACGGTAACAACTGCGTCGATCAATACCACTTACCAACCGTTGTACGCAAAAAGTCCCGAATAAAGCGCCAAGGAGATTTGTCCCGGATCTCTGGAAGAGCCAAGAAAAGGCCTACTGAAGTTATCTGTGGAACCTGAAAATCACAAGTTAAGATCTGAACTGCGGCGTTAAAACCGATGCTGTGTGTATATGGGTGCACGTGGATGTTTGTGCGAATGTAATTAATATTTTAGCACATAGTATGGTATTTCGGAATGAATTTAGTATAATCCATACTCACACATGAATGGCTTTGCAGTTTTTGAGGCTTATGAACGAGACTCGTATGACTTATTTAAGGCTTAGTGGGAAGCAATCGCCCAGGCTGTCATTTTTAGTTCTAGCTGCTGGTCCTTCTCATCGTTTTCTGGGACCTGGAGGCACAGACTGGATTTGCGAATGGCAGATGGGATCAAAAGACTCAAATTATCTACCCCTCCCAAAAAAAAACCATAAGCGGTTTTTGAATTACGATGCAATCTTTTGCAAATGCTTCCGAAAAGGAAAGCGAAACAGCAACTTCTTGTTGAAACCTGAGACACCGGAGACAGAAAAGGCTGACCATATGACATTTCTTTTCATGTTCAGGTTATCTTCTATCGATGCTTAGAAGTTTGTACAAGATCGAAACGTTGGAAACACCGTGTGACGCGCCAGCCATAGCAATCCCAAAGGATAAACGGTCATCGAAACTGACCGACTGATCTCACTGTCACAAGTATCTTTCAACACCAATTGCCTACAGTATGAAGAAAGGTCAGAAACTTTATTTAATTATCCAAACGTTTCGGTCGACTGCATACTGTAGCCATCATCAGGGTTATCATATGAAATTCACTCATTTTCATAGTTTGCAATTCCAGTTTTCTTCTCAGGCAATAAGCACGGCAGACCATATTCCACGCGGCAACGGCTTCAGTGTTCAACACACATGAGCGACCTGTTTCTGGGTGTACCCTGTGGTCGCTGATTATGTAGCTCTAGGAAGACCATCTTTATCACATGTCTTGATCACTGCAGTAGTGATCTCTTCAAAAGTATGGTTCAATCAAAACAGAGCGTTCTTGGTCTAATCTCTATTCTTTAACTAGCCAAGCATTGCACACACTGGCTGTGCAAAGACTGAATGATCCATCCAGCAACGTCTTCACGCAAATCGTGACACATGAGCCCCGTGTTGCATTCAAAGAGAAGACCAAGTAATCACTACCTTGATGTGCCAATATATTCATGGTCCGCAATATCGATGCCACTGTCACATCATGGGCATTTTTTCAAATCTCATCAAAGTCAATAAAAAATTTGCTGCAGTATTAAAGTCAGTTCAGATATGCGTTGAGGAGCTTTCAAACAATGTGGCTACGCCAAAAACAATGAAGCAAGACGATGAGGCTCGGTTTACTTATAAGAGCATGTCTAAGTACATCCTTCAATGGAGCGCGAAATTGAAGTACATAAACACAAAACAGTGTCGTGCGTCTTAGAAGTGAACTGGTATCAAACCGTTCATATGGCAGTACCTTGGGTGGTAAGCTGGTATAAATGATCGATCATAACCACCCGTCGTTGCAGAGCAGTGCATTCACGTTCTACTTGTATTGTCATATTCACATGCTCCATGAAAATGAATATTGTCTTACTTTACTACAAGGAAAATTCAATATAAAGAATTGCTTTTCAGACGAACGAATTTCCCCATGATTGTTAGTCAACCTGCACCTCATAGGTTTTCGATTAAAAATAGCTAAACGTAAGGGGCGTTTAAGCCGTTATCTAAGACCTGCGATACTGGAAACTGATCTCTTCACAATTTTTTCTTATTACCGACGTGTATGTATGTATGTGTGTATGTGTGTATGTATGTATGTATGTATGTATGTATGTATGTATGTATGTAT